GAATCCGAAAAAGACGCGATCGCATAGACGGCGTTCACTCGGGAACAGAATCCGGAGCGCAACATTGACCGCTTTGACCCATTTCTCAATCTCGTCTTCCAGCTCAGTCCACTGCATTTTCTGCACTTCATCAATACTCAGCTTCTGCAACCCCAGTCTACTCAGACTCTCCTCCAGAAACTCTCTCCTACACGCGCTGTACGCGTGCGAACACTCCTTCCCGTATCCGGCGGCCACCATCCTTCTTGCGATCTCGTGAAGATCGCTGACGGTTCCCGCCGGTAAAGCGTCAATAAGGATGTCGTAATCTGTAACCGGATGTGCTACAGGAATCTCACTGTCATCTTCAGCTNGCTACAGGAATGTCACTGTCATCTTCGGAATCAGAGGAGTAGTTCAGATTCGCTGCCGGTTCGCCGTTCTGGTAGCGCGTGAGATCCAAGGACTCAGCAGCGCGTTGCATGAGGGTTTTGAACTCATCCTCCAAACGGAACATAGCTTGTTGGAGTAAATCCTCAGCTTTATCAAGACAAGCAGAAACGGATTTGTCACTCGCCATAGGGTTCCACTCGCGAATTGTGGCTATTAATTCGTCAAGGGAATCAAGGAAAGAGGAAGAATCAGCTGAATCGGACCATAAGGGATGTTCGGTGGAGACGTAACGAGAGATCTGACGGTGAAGGGATTTAAGGGTTCGTTCAAGTGAAGCACAGCTAGTGGGCTGATCATCAGTGAGCTTTTCACGGAGACGATTATCGAAACTAGAGAAGATTTGAAGAATATCATCAGTCATAGTATCAGTATGACCAAGAGTTTTAGCAATATGACGAGCAACAGCTATGAGTTTTTCTTCGCCATTTTCAGCCATGTATAAAAGTGAAAATGCTTCTGTTATTGGGTTTTCCAAATTTACTAATGGGGTTTTCCTTTGAATGATCTGAAATATTTTTGGATTTGTGGGAGAAAGTGGGATGCTTGAAGAAGAAATGTGAAGAGAAGAGATGGGGGACCCACAGGAAAGTCATAAGAAAACACGCTTTCTGTTAAATACAGCGGAATATTAAAAAAAGCAGTTCAAGAGTTTTTATTAAAAGAAGGTGATACAGAAACCACCACTATTGCATCTGCAAAGCAATTTCATTTTCACTAACGAAACGAAGTGCTGCATCGAGCAGAGGGGTTTAAAATCGAATCGAAATCGAAAATTGAACCGCATAAGTGGCTTAATGGTTTATTAGTATCGGATTAATAATTTAACGGATGGGGAACAGATTGAATTTTTTTTATTAACGACTTATCAATTTGGGGATGAATTATTCAATTTTCTTAACGGATAATTCGTTAACCCGTTAAGAATATATATATTATTCAATTTTCTTAACGGATAATTCGTTAACCCGTTAAGAATAT